CTCTCCTTCAATGGTGAAGCTCAAGAAGGAGAAGAACAAAAAATTAACAGTAAAATAAAGATTATTTATATAGTTAATAAAAAAAAATGCAAAAAGAAAAGTTTAATCGTACTTTTTTTGATTTCCACGCTCTGCAGGCGAGTGATATACACTCTCTCTATAAAATATCAAAAAATGGTTCAATAATTTCACATTAATCTAGTTAAGTGGTGTATTAGGACCCTCGCAAAGTTTGAGCGTCTTTTTCAAAAATGCATCTTACTTTATGGGGTAATTATGTATTTCCTCTAAATATATTAATAACTCAATTTTGACAATGGCAGGTTATGGTGGCTGCATCTATGGGTGAAGTCATCAAGTCATGGTTAGGAGAAGCAACCCATGAGGAGATTATTATCATATTTTTTACTTTTTTTAAAAGTCAATTTCTTCTTATTCTTTACAAAATCGAGTTTAGCGACTCTATGTCTAGATTTATATGATGCACTTTTATTTTTAATCTATTACAAAAGGAATGTTACATTTTTATAATTAAAAATAATTTAACTTTACAATAATAAAATACTATATATAGTCATATGAATAGCTAAGATTTGTTTTAGACCACAAATTTTAGATGACGTTTTTTCTTTCTTAAATTTTATCTCAATGTACTTCCTTTTTTGATGTTTGGATTCTTACTTTCTTCCTTGAGCCTTAAAACTCTTTGAAAGTGAAATAGTCGGCTGAATAATAGTGGTCCAATTGGTTAAGCAGTATGGTCTAATATGAAAATTTGCAGTCAATAAATGCACTTATTCGGGGCGGAATCTGAGACGAAGGACTTGTAATATCTTTTTAGATATGACAAAATTGAAAGACCTCCTAACATAATTTGAATGGAGGCTTACCACTGAGCCTACTCTGACCTCGATTTATTCAAATTTCTTTTTTTAAAAAAATACACTATTTATATATTAGAATTTTATGTATATAATGTTGACCTAAACATGGTAAAGACTTAGGTGAATATCACTTTTGTAAATTACACAATGCATATGTAAAGATATAGTTTATTATGTCTTTTTAATTTTTGTAATAATTGTCTTTTATAACAATAATTTATTATAATCAAATAATCATATTTTCCTTGAAATTAATTTTCATTGTTATATTATGTTATATGTTTTCTATAACATTATTTTGCTATTGACCGTATATTTATTGTTGAATTTCCTTAATGCAAGTAGTAAGTATTTCAGTGCGTGACGGGGATTTTTTTTAAAAAAGATTTAATATCTTAGATTTGTGACATTTCTAATATTTTTTTAATTTAATCCTACAATCGACCGTTGGTAAGATATGTTCCATATAAAATCATCACTTAGATACCGTTCACATTTATCAAAACAAAAAAATTATGAACTATTCACAATCACAAAATAAATAAATAAAAATAATAAAATGGAAGTTTCCTATCTAAGTTTGACTAATCAACTCAAAGGGAAAAGGAAAAAAATGAAGAAAATAACATAGTCTTAATTCTATCATATAGGCTATAGCATACTATTACGGTAAAAATAGTTTTTAATGATAATAGATATATACATTAACAAAAAAATGCTAAAATCTAAAAATGCGTAAGCCTTTTGTTTAATATATAGTACTTCCTATTATACTAGAAGATTAAATGAGAGAAACACACAGAGATGTCCCCTCCCATGTGAGTATTAAAGGGACGAACTGTACTGAATTTGAATGAATCAAAATAAGTTAAATTAATAAATAGATATGTTATTTATTTATCTAATATTGAATAAATTAATTTAATTATATTTTTATAAGATAATTTTATCCATCTTTTCATATTGAAATAGTAGGTCATAATCAAGATTGAAAAGTAGCAAAAAAGAGATGGAGACATGTGAAGAAACAGTTAAGTGGCTAGTGAACACAAATGACAAAAATAGATAAGAGCCCGTTTGGATTGGCTTAAAACAAGTAACTTTTAAGTCAAAAATAAAAAGTCAAACTGAAATGACTTTTAAGTCAAAAAATAAAAAGTAGGGGGAGACTTGCTTTTGGTTTCTAATTTATTTTAAGTCATTTTTGACTTATTTTAAGTTATTTTTCATATTTGCCAAACACTTCTAGAAGTCAAAAATTGATTTAAAAGTAGGTTTGATCAATTTTTAAGCCAATCCAAACGGGACGGCTACTATAAGTACTTGTTATTTACATAGAATTTCAGATTTCAAAATTCAAATAAATCTATTTTTATCGTAATTTTTTTATATTTTTTAAATTATCAATTATTATGATTTATAATGCTTTTTACGTGATTTATAAATTATAAATTTCATTTCAAAAAAATTATAAATTTCATGCTCGATTTTCAATCAAGCTTAAACGGTCTGATTCTCAAAAAATGAAAAATATCACATAAATTGAGATATAAATTTTTCTTTTCAAGGAAATAAAAATAAATTAAAACCATCTTGACGTGTAGAGCAATTGGTCCACAAGAACTTTGGTATAATATATGGACAACGTACAAGTGAATTGGAAAACAAAGCATATTCCCCAATTGGCTCCAAAGTCCAAACAACCCAATCGATGGTACTAAATGTACCTATCTCACTTTTTATACGCTGACAAAATTAAACTCAATCCATTCAAATCGTTCGAGTTTGGATGAGTTATAATCCACTCATTTATTAATTAATTAATTTTAACTTATTAAAAATAAAATTGATATGTAGCTCATGAGAATTCTTATCAAAATATTTTTTTAAAGTTAATTTTCTTATTTGATATGTTATATATAGTCCTAACAAAGAAAAATAATAATTTTATTTGGTGCAAAAATATTATTAAATAACAAATAAAACAATTAAAATTTGATAAGATTTGAGCGAGTTGAATTATAATAACCTGCATTTTATTTAGCCCATTCCAGCCCAAGTAAATTTTGGATGTGACGGATCAATAATCCGTTCATTTGACACCTCTAATTATTTATTTAATTCTCTTTCTCAAAGAGGTAGTCTTATTCGAACACATAATTATAATTGGGATGCTAATAGCGTATGAATCAAATGTTAAGCTCAGAATAGGATTCCCTTCAAATATAAAGTACTCTTTTCATCTCTTATTAGTTGATCACATTTCTAAATCAAGAAAGTATTAATTAAATTTTTTCTATATTACTGGCCTTGTAATTAATTCTTGTTGAAAGTGTTCATATTTGTTTGTAAAATTTTCAAGAAGTTTTTTAAGGGGTGAATTAGTAAAATTATTTTCTTATTATGATTTCTTAAGCACCGTGCAAACTAATATGAAACGGAGGGAGTAAAATTCATTTTATAGGAGGGAATCCTCAGTATTTAATGATCAAAATGTTGAAGATAAAGAAAACTGAAAACATGGAACATGTTGAACAACCTGTCCAATCAATGTATACAACAGAGTTAGAGTCACTAGGATTAGGCTAATACTTAAATCTACTAGGCTGCTACTTATTGTACTAGCTGAAGTCGACTAGGATTATATAAGGACTAAAATTAGATTATTTATAATTGCACTATTATTATATAGTAATAATAGTTATTGTAGTGGGACTCTAAGTATAGCTAGCTTAGAACTCTACAATTCACTCCCTATATAAGGAGTATGTACTCATCAATTTAAATCATCAATACAATCATTGATTTCTCTAATCCTAGATGTAAGAATTCTACACAAAAATCATCCCATCTTAATTTACATTAAATAAGTAATTAATGATATTTAATTATAAGATACTACTAAATTATATATGTGTATTAAAACATACCTACTTGAGTAGATAGTTATAGTCCAAATGTGAAAAGAGAACGACTAATAAATGGTCTAATCAATTTGATAGTTCAAGTTGAAAAAAGAAACAACGGATAGTTAGGATAACTCAGGAAAAAATCCAATGTATTTTTTTTTATCATTAATACATTGTATTTTTTTCATATACGATGTCTTCTTTTAGTCCTTGTCAAAATAGGACAGCAATAGATGAACATTCACTTACGTAAATGCATATTTTCAACTAATAAATTAAATTAGTGGAACATACGTACGTATATTCATAAAAATCTAAAATCCAAACAAAATTTGATCACTTTGAACCATTTGTAGTACCTGATAATTGGATGTATGTTAATGTGATAATATTTAGAACCAAACGATTTTTTAATTATTTTTTAAAATTAAAAAAAGGACACTTTTTTTTTCTGATCTAAAAGAAAGAAAAAAGGAATCTAAAAATTATATGGAGGAATGAAATTGCTGAGATTGAAGAAATAATTTTAGAGTCAAACACTTGGAGAATTATTATCTTTATATTTTAGATTATTTATGAACTTGTGGAATTTGATTAGTGATTCCCCAATATCTAGACTTGGACACAAAATCTTTCCACTTTGTTGATTGACATGAAGATGAAGAAGTCGGAGTCAAAATTTAAAGTTTACGAATCTAAATTTATTAAATTCATAGCTCATTTGATTTCGCATATAAATATTTGATGAATTATGTAATACAAATATAAAAAACTATTTAGTTCATCTGAATATGCACCTAATATTATAGCTTTGTCGCCTATGTATGTATAAAAATATAGTCAAGATTTGAAGTTTATAGGTTTGAAATTCTAAATCCATTTAAGTATTTGAGTTCTAAATCAGCAATTTGTACTAGGGGTGTGCATTCGGTTTTTTGGTTTGGTATTACACTATTTGGTTTGGATTTTTGATTTTTGGTTTTGTAAAAGTGTAACCCAATCCGATCCAAAAATAAAATTTGGTTTGGTTTGGTTTTCCTCTATTCGATTCGGCTTTTTTCGGTTTGATTATTCGGTTATGTCAATAATAATAACATATATAACAAAGTAAGAATATTTAATCCCTTAAATATACTTTCTAATATAAATCATAAGTAAACTTAAACACAATACTTATAAGTATACCTATTATAGATGTAATTCAAACATAAAATATAAACGTAATCATCATGAAATACAATAACCAAAAGGGACAAAAGTGGTTAACTCCAACTTAATTCTAAACCTAAACATTATATATATATAATTTAGTTTTTTTCGGTTTTCATTTTTTAAAATTCGAAACCAAACCAAAAAACCAAACAAAGTAATTTTATTAATCCAAAACCAAAAAACCAATCCAAATAAAAATTCGGTTTAATTTAGTTTGATTATTCAGTTTAATCCGAATAGTGCACACCCCTAATTTGTACATGTTAATTAAATGATTCTCTTAAAGAAAAATATAAAATTTGGATCAAGATTATATTATTTGATTCCACTGATCGAACTCATACCTTACACACTAACTCCAACCCTGTGAATGGTGACATATGCAGTATATAACTTTCGTAATTTATCATAGTCATGAGCTTCATGCAATAATTGAACAGAAAAAAAGAGTCACGATATTCATGCAAAAATAAAAAATAAAAAATAAATCGTCATGCGAGAAAAATTTATGACATACTTCGAATAGTTCAAATGTTTTGTTTGTTTAATCCATAGAGACACGAAAATTTCACGAGTTTCACCTATTTTTCCAACGTAACTAGTACTATTTGATTGTTTGGTATAAAATAAAGATAATGAATAAGACACAAAAACACAACTGAAGTATCATGTCACTTATATGTATTTTTACGAGTTTCAAAGTGTATTTTTATAAATAATTATGATAGTTTAAGTTGCAAATGCAAATATCTAATATGTGATTAAAGAATTATATTGTTCACTATGTGATAGGAAAGATTATAGGGTTACAAAATAGCTAGTTTATTATTATTATTGATTAGTAGATCTTTATAAATTTTGTATATTTGAAAGTTAGTAATCGCAACTATTAATTTATAAAAGGGACATTGAGATGTGCAATTTATTGATATGACACCTTAATAGTTTTCGATTGTTTATTTATGAACTATGATCTGCTAATTTGGTAAAGATTAGATAAGACTAGAATTTTTTTTTGGTAATATTCACAACTTTTGAGATTTCATGTTTATGAAAAAAAATACATATAATTTACAAAATTCAAATTGCATGTCCTAACAAAACTTCAACTTTAAATCAATCTGATTTCAAATAATGATTTTATAAAGTATATCTAAATGGATCATAACTTTTGACCATAAAATTCATACATAGAAGCTTTAAAGAAAACATACTATAAATTATATTAATAATTAAAAAATTTAATTACTTAAAAAACATAACTAAAATTCAATCAAAAATTAGACATGGAAAAATTCTTGGTAGAAAGCGTTTCTCCCCAAATTGGGCCGCGACGCATATTCAAAAAAGCAGGGCTCCAATGTAGATATTTATGCGGCACATTTAAAAAGGTAGGGCTCTAATATAGATACTTACGCGGTGCATAGTCGAAAAAATAACTCTTCCTCCGAATTGGGACTTATGTGATGCGTATTCAAAAAAATAGATCCCCAATATAGATACTTATGTGACACGTATTCGAAAAAGTAGGGCTCCAATATAGATATTTACGCGACGCGTATTAAAAAAAGTAAAGTTTCCTCCAAATTGGGCCTTACACGGCACATATCCGAAAAATAGGGCTCCAATAAAGTAACTTATGTGGCGCGTATTCGAAAAAGGAAGGGCTCCAATATAGATACATACACGGCGCGTATTCGAAAAAGGTAACGCTTCCTTCGAATTAGACTTTACGTGACACGTATTCAAAAAATAGGGCTCCAATATAGATACTTATGCGACACGCAATCAAAAAAAATAAGACTCTAATATAAATATCCGACACCGCCGCATAGATCATACAACCTCACTTATTTGGCTATCATACTAACCTCAGAAAAAATGATAAAGAATAGCTATACAATTATTACATCATATTGCTTTTGTATTGGATGATAAATAGATTTGAGTGTTTGAGAAATTTAGGAGTTGAAACACAGCCCAACTGTCCTTTTCTTCCATTTTCTGTCACTAAATCAGACCAAAGACTCCATTTTTATGTGGTTCTTTTTTATCCACTCAATTATTTCTTCTTGGACAGGTTATAAAAGCACACCCAAGTGTTCAAATTGTTGCCATATCAGTTTTCTGTTCTTTTTTGCCTATTGGGGTGTCGAAAAAAGCAATCTTGAAGCTTTACAAGGCAAAATTTGGTGATTTAGCTAAGTGGGTATTACAAAGATGATGTCTGTGAGTTGCCATAATCTTGAAATTGGGAGAACCCCATTGGAGTCTTTGGCTTGTGGGTGTTCTTTTTCAAAGGGTGTTTTGAGAAATGTAAGTAGAAGATTCAATGGGAAGAAGTTGTTGTCTTGCAGACAAGAATTTGGGCGTATCTCAACTAAGGCTTCACTTACTGGTATACAGTTGAATTCAATTTTTATTTTTTTAGGATTATAGTTTATAAGGGTATTCTTGGAATGATTTGAATTTTGAAATATTGTTGTTGTTGTGATTGTATTGCAGGGTTGGCACCAGTTTTGGATTTGAATAAGTCAGCAAAGCCTATTTCATTGACTAATGTTTTTGAAGTGGTTGCTGATGACCTACTTACATTAAACAAGAACTTGCAGAATGTGAGTAATCTGTTGCTTTCATGTTTCAACTTTTGCTTATGTGATTTTTCAGCTATATAGCTTAATGGATTATATGTGACAAAATCTTATTTTTAGACTAATAGCTGCCTAGGTAATACATGTAATCATTTATCTGGCATGATTCGGAACACGTTCCTTTGGCTTTATTACTGCTGGTATTGTCAAATGACTAATGTACTTGCCATAATTTAACTTCATCGATGCTTCGTCGAGTTGTTCCTTTTAATGAATTGCTCTAGATGTAAGAGAGAGGTACAATTTTGGACTAATGGTCATGCTAGTGGGGATTAAAATCAATAGAGATGCTTCTTTGATGATATTTGGGGTTTATTGGCCTTGCTAGAATTAAAATAGAAGGGGAATAGGAGTTGGCAGTATCACTCTGCCAAATGATATCTTAATCTTGGAACATTTTTGAGGACGGTTTTATTTGGTATTTGGTCATGGTTTGATTCAAATACCAGCTGGCATCGCCAGATGAGTGATGGTTGTACTTGTTATTGTGACTTCAATGATGCTAAGGTGAACATACTTTGTTCCCGAATGAACTGCTTTAAATGTATGAGAGATGCAATTTTTGGACTACTAAATGGTCATGGATGATAAACAATTGGACTTAATAGATATATTTATTTGTCCGGGTTATTGGCCTTAAAAATATCTAACCATAGGAGTAGGAGCTTCACAATTACTTCCAAATGGTATCTATATTTTTGATGATGATGGTGTCCGGGCCAGCGTGCATACACCTCAACTATTCCACCTGGTTACCTGCTATCTCCCATCGGCACAGGTACCTTGACCTTGAGCTTATGAAGTTCATTTTAAAAGGTCCTAGGTTTTTGACAATTTCATTTACTTTGATTCAAAGACTTGATACAAGAAATAAGTGCAGTTGGGCCTGAGAGTATCTCAAATGTATATCCTGATAAATAAACACACATATGTCTAATGGTGACTAATGTGATGTCAAATATCAGGGAGTAACTGAAAACGTTTCATATCAGTGATTGTCACTTGCTATTATTAGGATTTGTAAAACTATATTGTTCATTGGATCAATACCACATGAATGTTCAGATGGCATATCGGGCCAATTTACTTTTAACATATCTCTCTTCTATTCTGTATCTAAGAGAAATCAATTTTCAGATTGTTGGTGCAGAGAACCCAGTTTTGATGTCTGCAGCTGAGCAGATTTTTGGTGCTGGTGGCAAAAGGGTGAGACCTGCTTTAGTGTTCCTAGTGTCAAGGGCCACAGCAGAAATGTCTGGCTTAAAGTGAGGAACACTATTTGATTTTTTCCCTCTTGTAATACTCAACAACAACATATCAGCTAAGCTAATGTCTTAAAATGCTTGCTACCAGGGAACTCACCACAAAACACAGAAGGTTAGCTGAAATCATTGAAATGATCCATACTGCAAGCTTGATACACGATGACGTGTTAGATGAAAGTGACACACGAAGAGGTAAAACATTTTAAGCAACTTGTCATTCTCCTCTGATGCGTCTGCAAATTCACCGCCTTAAATTATTTAAAAACTCAAAATGATAATCACTCTGGCATCTAGTTTAATACTTTATTCAGGTGGCTGAAAACGTTACTGTACATATTCAGTGGTTATTGCTTTGGATATTACTCAAAATCTTCAGCTCTACCATTACTAGGAATAGAGTTATTTTCCAGGCATCATTGTGGGTTATTGTTCTTAAAATAAAAATTTAAGTACTAATTTAGGAGGAATATGTAGAAGAAAACGCTAAAGAAGATATTGTCTTCATTCTGATTCTATGATGATACCGTGATGCATGCTCTTACTCTCAAAACAATATCTTATCCTTTAAAGAGTCTCACTTTTGACAATTTCAGTTGATGAAGAATATCTAAGGTATATCTAATGAAAAAAGAAATAAAGATGCCCTAGAATCTACTGTGGACGCCAGACAATCTGGACAGACACATTAACAGAATAACCAGACTTACGCTGATGACAACACCTTTCTATTGATTAGAAACCCCCCAGTAAACTTTATTTGACACTACAACATTGGTTGGATGTGTATGGGATTTGGGATTATCGTTTCTAAGCTATCTCTTGTGCATTTCCTCGGACTAGTTACTTGTTTCTCAAGTATTTTCTAATTATTATTGATGCTGTCCTGATTGATTTACATGTGGTTCTTGTTGTCTAGCTTGATGTGGTTGACTTACTTCTATGAAAGACGATCTCCCCTGCTCTCCCGGGGGGATCCAGGGACCTTAAAAACTTCAAGGGTTAGTCCAGGAAATATGCTTGATTAGCAAGAGGTTATGTGATGAGGTCCTTACTGTTTAAATATTCTTCCTACTTTTCATTTCGGGTTTCTGAGATCATCTCAGCATTTGTCAGATTTGTGTGCTTTCTGAAAAAAATATGTGAGATTCTGTACAACTGTTTTGTGAAATGGTACACTCGACAGTGGACACACCAAAAAGAGAGAGAAAACTGACAAGACCGGGCTAGGTATGCGCTTTCTCAGGATTAAGGAAAAGAACAAGACTGGATTAGATCTTCACTTTCCCAAGTTTGTAGAGGCTGATAATACTAGATTGTTATTTCTTCCATCAACGCTTCCTTTTCCTAATAGTTAAGCTTAAGATCAATTGATGATTGATTCATTTATAGCACTTCCAAATATGAGTCCTCTGTTTGTCATTCAGGTGGTCAAATTTTGTCATCTAATCATTTACCCTTGTGCTTCTTCTAACTTGCTTCTCTTAATCGCAATTTTTATTATACCTTCTCCTTTGCTTCATTGTATTGGCCTCTTGATAAAACTTCTAGTGCAGGAAAGGAGACTGTTCACCAATTATATGGTACTAGAGTGGCAGTACTGGCTGGTGATTTTATGTTTGCACAGTCGTCCTGGTACCTAGCTAACCTTGAAAACCTTGAAGTCATAAAGCTCATCAGTCAGGTATCCTAAGATCTTCTAGGTTTGTACATCTTGTAGAATTGGCAACATTGATATCATTATTAGTTCGTTGTACCTCAACACCCTTTGTGGTTATTGGTTTTTATGGCAGGTTATTAAAGACTTTGCAAGTGGTGAAATAAAGCAGGCCTCTAACTTATTCGACTGTGATGTTGGACTGGATGAATATTTGCTCAAGAGTTACTATAAAACGGCCTCCTTGATTGCTGCAAGCACCAAAGGAGCTGCCATTTTCAGTGACGTTGGCAGTGATATTAGTGAACAATTGTTTCAATATGGGAGGAATCTTGGTTTATCGTTCCAGATTGTTGATGACATATTGGACTTCACACAATCAGCAGCACAACTGGGAAAGCCAGCTGGAAGTGACTTAGCCAAGGGAAACCTTACTGCACCAGTACTTTTTGCATTAGAGAAAGAGCCAAACCTTAGGAATATAATCGAATCAGAATTTCACGATGCTGGTTCTCTTGAGGAGGCCATCAATCTGGTGAAGACCTGTGGGGGAATTCAACGAGCACAAGATTTGGCAAAGGAGAAAGCTGATTTAGCAATGCAGAACCTAAAATGCCTTCCATCTAGTCCTTTCCGAGCAGCACTTGAGGAAATCGTGAAGTATAATCTGGAGAGAATTGAATAGAAGAAAACGCAGGACAAAAGTATACACCTTTGGTTTATTATTCTCTTGAAGCTCTTCATATCTAACAATATCTGGAGCATAGAGTTGAAGCTATTACTATAGTTTGAATGGTGATCGCGATCAGGACGAAAGTGCTTCACTATGTTCATATACTCATACAGGTTGTAATTTTTCAGTTCCTAATACAGCAATATGGTGTTCCAGCATTCTTTATAATTTGGCTAATAAATTGTCAAATTTCAACTGTTGTTGTACACTAGAGAAATTTCACAATTACTAATAATGTCATGTATTACTATTTACTCTTGGCTTTCTTGGATGGACATTTATATTATAAATTGACTATACGAAATTGGTACCAATTGTGTAACACATCAAGTAAATTGCATTGCTACTATTATTACATAAGTGGATTCTAATAGTTGAACCCTAATCACTTATTATACAATTTTTTTATCTGTATCGCTAAATTTTAAGCGGCCGTTGAACAACTTCAGTAAATCTTCAACTTGAGCATATGTGGTGATAGTACTAATGCAAGTGCGACAAAATGGGCACGCCTTGTTTTTTTGCTAATAACCAAGGAATAATACAAGCTGCGTGAAATCTATGACAACAAGTAGAAAGTATCAGTTCACACTTCAAATTCTCCTAAACAGATACAACAGTCATTGTTTGTGCCTTGAATTTTTGGATCATCAGCAGGAATATCTATCACCACTTCCATAACTTGAGCTCTTTCTATTTGCACACCACTAGCTCCTTCTATTGCCACATCATGATTTTGTGAAATTTGTAAACTCGTCAGTCAGCTTCGTTGGACATGTTCCTTTGACATGTTCCAATCGTCAGCTTCCTTCTTCATCAACACTTGTTGTAGACACGTCAATCAGCTTCGTTGGACCTGTTCCAATCGTCAGCTTCCTTCTTCTTCAACACCGAAGACAATATAGAAGGGGAGATTTGACATCTATTATTTTTTACACAAATTATAAGTAAGTATGCAACAAAAAATTAGTATTAAAAGAACTTATAATTTCAAAACTATAATGAATTAAATAATTAGAATTTTTGCCTTGGGACAAGTCTTGAAGTATTAAAAACAGAAGAGTTTAATTTGAAGATGGAACAATTAGAAGGCAAAGACAAGGTTTTATAGTTTTAATTCATTCATAAACCTATTATGATTCGGAGTTGAAGAAGTACATGCCTTAATTAAGTCTAGAGCTGTCAAAAAGGGACGGCTCAGTCCCATCAGGTCCAAGCCTCGCGGGCCAAGGAATTTGAAGGTCTAGGGTGGACCGGCCCTTCATTTGGAAGGGCCTGCAAATGCTGAACCCAACCCAACCCTAGAAGGACCGAGGGCTGGGGCGGGCTAGCCCTTCATTTTTTCTTTGCAAATTTATAATTCTATAACATCAAGAAAATGAGAAGATTTTCAGATCAACTATGACAAACAATGGTGTTGTTTCAATAACACTAGCAAAAACTCTAGTATAATTAGCATGTATCTCGCATATCAAATACGTGAGTGAGATAACAGAGTGACAAGCAAGATGGGAGGGAAGCGAGGGGCCGAAATTTGTCTATGTATCTCAGATACATGCGAATCTACTTGGATAGAGTGTATCTAGAACAAATTAACCTAATTTTGAGTCTAACCTAATTTTGAGTTCATCTATTCCAAGATACATGTATCTGGAAGTACCAAAATCTGGTAAGATTCATAATATTACAACAGTGTGTATTTAAGTAATTAGATTATGTACTAGTGAGATTATTGTAAGTTATCCTTAAATAAAAAGTTTTGGCCCATGGGCCGACCCCGGCCCGACCCAGATCAACCCTCAAGGGCCAAGGACTTATATGAACCGGGCTTATAAGCCCTAGTTTTAAATGGACTTGAAAAATTCTATCCCAACCCTACCTCAATAACGGGTTGGGTCGGACCGGCCCATGGGCTAAGCCCGCTTTGATGGCTCTAATTAAGTCCTTTTAGAATTAGGATTATGATTTTTTTTTGTAAATAAAATAAGCTAACCGATAAATAAAAAGTAATCAGTAACTTTTTTTTTTAATTGCGTGATCATAAACAATCAAGGAATTATGTATATTTATTTATAATATAAGTTGTTGATTTTAGAAACCTTATAGGAATAGGACTAAACTATTTTTGGAAACACATAGGTTTTAAATTTAGAAACCTTTTACGAGTAGGAAATGTGTGTCCTAATTAAATCTCAAATCACTTTTGGGTTTGCAAGTATATTTTAATACTTTATATTTATATTGTATCGTTAGTTTAAATATACTGTTTGTTTTGATTGTTATTTAAATTATATTGTATCGTATCATTTAAATCTATTGTTAAGTAACAACGAAATACCATTTCATGTAATAACCGATTTGGTGTGATTGCGTCGTTGACATAATATTTTTTTCTCATTTTATCTTTATTTATTATTGAGAGAAGCATAAAAAAGCATCCCTGAATTTGGGGCAAATTATTAGTTTCCTTTTCGAACTATTGACAGCCTTAAAACACCCCTCTACTTGACTAACTAAACTTAGATACACCCCTGATACACTCGATATGCCACATGACATAGCAAGTGGTCTCAAACTCTAGTAGGAGCACCCCTAAACTTGATGAGAATTTAGGGGTGTATTTCACTAATGTTGCAAGATCGGGAGGTGTATTTAACTTTAGTTAGTCAAGTAAAAGGTGTTTTTAAGGCAGACAATAGTTTATGGATGAAACTAATAATTTACGCCAAGTTTAGGAATGTTTTCGATAATTCTCTCTTTATTATTTAATAATAATATCTCATCTTTTATCTTTATATTTTTATAAAAGTTTTACCTTGTACCCTTTTTTTTTTTAAGGAGAAGTATTGAAAACACGCTAAACTAAGCGTGAATTATTGGTTTCATCCCCGAACTATTGTCAATCTTAAAAACACCCCTTTACTTGACTAACTGAACTTAAATACACCCCTATCCTTCAACATGAGTGAAATACACCCCTAAATTCTCGACAAGTTTAGGAGTGTTTTCATTACTTCTCTCGATTTTTTATTAAGGGCCCGTTTGGCCATGCGATATGAAATCATGATATGGAATCATGAGATAAAATTGAAGTTTTGTTTGGACATGCGATATGAAATTTTTGTGTTGTATATTTTCTCATAAACATAAAAATTCATAAGTTGTAAAACTATTAAAATATCCCCAATTGTTTATTCAATCTTATCAAATAAACAAAAAATTATAAAATCGCATAATAAATTATTACAAAGCTAGTTGTTCTCCACTTAAGTAATTGTTTCATCTAACTTTAATTTAATAAAAAAAAATTGAACATAAATTGTAGTGTACTAGTCTTTATGGATGAGTATAAATAATTATGTATTTAAGCCTATCCAACCTAACTTTCATTTCAATTTATTAGAGTAAATGAAAAGAAGACCTTTCACTCCATATTCAAATAGATATAACTATAGTTGTAATAAATACAACACGGTAGAAGTAATAAATTTAGTGTTGGAGTAAATAAACAGAAAAAATTTATTATTCAACAATCGGTTAGTGTGAGTTAAAGTGACTATATGTTAGTGAGAATAATAAATTTTATGTCGGTGAGAATAATAAATTTTAAAAAGTAATGATGTGATTATAAATTTTATTTACATATGAAATAAATAGGTTAATAGATATAAATGTGGGGTTGTTTTAACAAAATATAAACTCGTGGATCAATTTTTGTATTAAAATATCTCAAATCACGATATGGAATTCCCATATAATTCCATATCATGGTTTTTGGAGAATATTGAATCACATCTCATGATATGGAATCATGAGATGGAATCAGCGTAAAATCGCATGTCCAAACGCTGATTCCATCTCACGATATCATATCGTGATATGGTATCGCATGGCCAAACACCTACTAAGAGTCACACGCCATACAAGAGTTTGAAACTACTTATTATGTCATGTGGAAGATCACGAGTGTATGTAAGTTTAGTTAATCAAGTAGAGAAATGTTTTAAGATTGTCAATAGTTCGGTGTTGAAACTAATAATTTGCCTCAAATTTAAGGGTCTTTCCAATACTTTTTTTTATTATAGATTTATCATTCAAATTATGAAGGATTGTCAATAGTTCGGTAATAAAACTAAAAATTTGCGTCAAGTTTAAGGGTCTTTTCAATATTTTTTTTATTATAAATTTATTATTCAAATTATGAAGGATTGTCAATAGTTCGGTAATAAAACTAAAAATTTGCGTCAAGTTTAAGGGTCTTTTCAATATTTTTTTTATTATAAATTTATCATTCAAATTATGAATATATGACATTATGTAACAACGAAAAATAACTATACATTATGAAATAATAGTTAACCTTCCTGCAATAAGGTGTAATCGTGAAGAAAAGAAAATTACAGCAATTAATTTCTGAAACTGTACAAAGTCCCAAATCCTATTTTTTTTGTTGATTCATTCATTGATTTGTGAAGGTGGAAGAGGATAATGCGATTGTTTCAGTGCTTGAGTCAATGGAAATCCAAAGCCAAAGACGGAATTCAACAATCACTTCTTATCGCCAAATTCCTCTGCTTATTACATGTCACAAACAACTACGTTTTCTCTCCAGTAATGGTACGTATTTCTCCATTTTATCTGCAATTTTCCGGTAAGAAATTAGGTTTTGCTTTTGAATTTTTGTACTGTTTTAGGTGTACGGTCCGAGCATGTTGCCGACCCTGAATCTTACCGGTGACGTTTTGCTGGTTGAACATTTGTCGCCGTTGTTGGATAAGTTGGGACCCGGAGATGTAATCCTTGTTCGGTCACCTGAGAACCCTAGAAAGACTGTAACTAAACGAATTATTGGTATGGAGGGTGATACTGTCACTTTTCTAGCTGACCCTTCAAGAAGTGACCGATATATTAGCTTAAAGGTGTGCTCTTTTCTTCTGTGTAATTTTGGCCTTTCTCGATTTTTGGATTGATTTTTGATAGTTGTTAAGTGAGAAGCCATATCTCAAGCAATGTGTTCCTTTTGTTGGCTAAGTTTATGACCATATGTGTGCTCTATAATATAGCATGAGTTATTGCTGTAATGAAGAAGTCATAGGAAGGCTTAAAGAAGAATGTGCTAGGATTAATCCCTTTAGAGATAGGGTGAGCCAGGAGCTTTTAAAATAAAATGTCCTAGGATTTAGCTCCTTTAGAGATAGTGGTGAGTCAGGAGTTTTAGACAAAAATGTCCTAGGATTAGCCCCTTAAGAGATAGGGGCGAGTTAGGAGCTTTTAAACGAAAATGTGCTAGGATTAGCCTCTTTAGAGATAGGGGCGAGTCAGGAGCTTTTAAACAAAAATGTGCTTGGGATTAGACCTCTAGAGATAGGGGTGAGCCAGGAGCTTACTGCAGGTATTTATGACTCTAGTGGCAACACGTGACAGGCGAATAACATGATTCTCGAGGAGTTACATGACTGCCAAGCCAATTCTTCTAAGACTTGTGGCTGCTTAATTTCTATTGTTGATGATTTTCTATTAACTATAGTCCAGTTTTGTCATTGGTCTGTGGATTCACTGTTTTTATCTTCCTAGTGCTCTCTGTCTTTTCTCTTTCCTTATAGATGCAAACCTCTTTGTTCTTCATTAGATTTCAACTTAGTTAGAGATAACAGACAGTTACTAGTTTCTGCAGTGAATGCTTTAAATTCTTGGAGTCTCTTTACTTATTTAAGCAAATGAGAGAAAAAGTTGTATCTTTCAATCTTTGGGCTTCCTAGTTTTCCACCCTTTCATAGAAACCACTTAACCACACATAGGATAAAACAAAAGAAGGTCACATTAGATGGTTTGGCCTATATAGACCTACAAATTTGTTTGCCAGTGGTTCGGACTCTAGGATGATTAATGTTAAAAGATAACATTGGTAGATTTAAAATCCAGTGGAGTGAAGTTGTTTCAAAACACCAACTATTTGTCCAAAGCTAGTTAAGAAGATAATTTAGGAAGCACTGGATCCTAACTAGTTTAGCATTGAGGCATAGTTGTTGTAAAGAGAACCGCATATGACCAAAAACATCCACCAATTGCTTGGGAAGTACTCTAATTCTTATTAATATATGGTGTGCAAAAAGGTGCCCCGTCACATGCTGAGTATGGATCTTACTGTCTTCTTTAGTATTTGTAATTGCCAGGACCTAGGATAGTGTGGTGTCAATTCTCTTAAGAAACCTGAAATTTGGGCTCTGAACACAATGTTAGGCATGCCACCAAGCTTCCTTATGCTTACCCACTTAGGTTTTCTCTCTCATTGCTGTTTCCAGGCTCACCTTCAGTTTCTTATATTCAAGGTCCTTTCATTTTGGCAGAGTATGTGAACCTATTTCTTTTGCCACGTTTCATCTCAAAGTAAACGGGAAAATGAGAATTCAATTTTCTTTATTTAATAACCGAGTAAACCCGAAGTGTCAGTAGTGCACAGTTCGAAACTCGGTAGACAATGGGCCTTGCCCTCTAATCATTATATATAAATGAGGATTTTATTTGAAGCACTTCTCAAAAAAATGCTCTATTTTTACTTTATTTAGATGTTGTATGCTTTCTAGTAGTTTCATTCTGATTTTCTGGAATACCACCTGAAATAACAATTTGAAACTGGCTTGGAATTCTTTCCTGTGATAATAAATATATTCAGTTGGAAGAGAAAAAGTTTCTTCATCTTTGAGGTGACATTCCACTGCTTACTATGTGAATGAGGTGATATCTAGTTTTCTCATTCCATAATATCCTGTAGTTTTATTTGTAATGCCCTATATTCTAATAATTTCTGTGGTTTTTTCCCCTCCTACTCGTTTATCTTGGTGTGGGGTTATCTAGGTTCCAAAGGGGCATGTTTGGATTCAGGGAGATAACATCTTTGCTTCGAAGGATTCACGGCAACTGGGGCCAATCCCTTGTGGCCTTATCCTGGGAAAAGTGTTGTATAGAGTAAGTTATATTATCTTTACTATCTTAGTGAGACTGAACTTATCTGCTTTCTTCTATTTATAAAGGTTCTAAAGCTTGCATTTTTGTGTGTGGGTAAAGTAATAACTTATTGATGTTCTGGGGAATAACCACTTACACAAGGAGTGCACCAAAAAATAGAGAATCTTACACAGACTAAAGCGTACATATGTTATTCCTATGAAGAATCAAATAGGCCCTAACTACTTGGCGTAGAAATTGATGATTGGTGTTTTCTTCGAAAGGTTTGCATGAGTTGAATTTTTCCGTTTGGTCAATTATCTAGGTCGTACTGTTGATAAAATCATTCAAATCATAGTAATGAATCCTCAACTTCTGAAATAACTTTACCTGCGGATAGATTAGCATCTTGTGTTCCCCCTTAAAAAATCGGTTTACCACTAGAGAACTCCAGCCTGTTGCTTAGGCAAGTTTATCCGGAACTCTGCTAACTTCTAGTCTCATATTCAATTGTAGTTTATCTGTCTTTACATCCTGAACAATATAAGAGCTTCCCTATTCTTAACATAACCATTGTCTACTTTGAAGTCTTTAATTTGATTATATGATAGTTGTGTACCTTTACTTGGAACACTTCTTTTTGCAAATTCATCTACTCACATCAACAATATTGATATCGATATATGGTCATTGATGCACAAACATTTGGGGTGTAGTAACCATTTGAAAATCTGGTAGGTAAAACTAGTTAGCTGACCCTTCTTGTTTGCACATGCAGGTGTGGCCGCCAGAGGGCTTTGGCTCGTTATGACAACAAAAACAATGTATTGTATTGAAGATATACAATTGAAATGGGAAATGTGATTCTTTACCAGTCCTCCTTTGATTATTGCCTTCTTTCTAGGAAGAACCAATTCTGAATAATGATTACTAGTAATTCATTTTGGTAAGGATGCTTTATTTCCTGTGGCTAAGTAGTTTTTGAAGTGCTGAAGAGAGTTTGTACATATTCTAAGGAATCAGTTGAAACTTGAAACCATGAATTTGATTTTCTGTACATTTGTAATGTCTATGGTTTAAAATATCTTTGATTTAAGGTATGAAATCAAGCAAAAAATTGAGGGACAAAATATTTATGAGAGTAATTATAAGATTAAAGCAAACTTAGCTAACTTGCGAGTACAAAAGTATTAAAGCGCCTATTATATATACATAAAAGCTATATCATCTAGGTAATGTCTAAGATATCAAATATCTTCACAAACATTTATTACATCGTAAGAATGTGCTGTTTAACGTGGCCTACATGATGACACAATTTTATGTTAAATGTATAATGTTGAATAAGTAGACACATGTGTATTGTGTTCTTTATATATGTAAGGTTACAACTTACGAGACATATACAACAATCGAGACTAAGTTAAAGATCACGGTTATGTACTAGGAGTACCTTGTTACGGCGATAAACGTGTCACACACACATTGGAATTGCAACAACGACTTCACCAACACACATTGAAATGTAGGGCTCTTGATAATTTTTGTTATCCATATATTCAAAAGAAATAATAGTAAAATTATTATTATATGATGTAGGGGTGTACATGGCCGGGTTGGTTCAGGTTTTTCAAATATCAAACCAAACCATTTGTGTTGAAATTTTGAATTTATAAACCAAATCAAACCAATAAAACTCAGGTTTTTTCGGATATTTTCAAGTTTTTCGTTTTTTCGGGTATTTCCGGTAAAGTATTCATACAAACATATAATTTACTTGTGCTTCAAATATTTCTTTAGTCCTACCAAAATACAACTATCTAAGTGTTTCTTAAGAAAATAGCACAAAATATGATATGATTAATGACATTAAATTATTCAAAATAATAATAATGAAATCATCATATAAAATAAATATTGCAAAGTCATAATGAAAATGATCATAATTTAAAAGTACTAAATCATGCTAAAATAAGTTTAATAAGTATTAGTTACATTACTAAATATTTAAGGGAAATTAAAATTAGATTATGTATTTTAATTGTCTTAG